TATATATATATATGCATTTTGTTATGTTCTACAGCAACGATATTCTGATATATTTATTTTATTTATTAACTTATATATAACATAATAGTGGACATGTGTGTATATATGTATGTGTAACTACATGTTGTCATTTCGATAAATAATTAATGCTTTTTGATCAATATTTGATCAATAATACATTGAATATTTTTTAATTATTTAAGAATATTTTTTAAGAATATTTAAGAATATTTTTATATTTTAAGAATATTTTTATTATTTAAAAATATTATTTAAGAATATTTTTTTATATTTTATATTTGATGTAATTCAAAATTTTCTGTTTTTTTTTTATTAAAATAGCTTTCAATTTCTTCTTTGATATTTCATTTGCAAGATATCAGAGCAATCAAAATAGTCCCTGCACAAAAAATTAAACCTCACAATCTTTTCCAAAAAGAGAATTAATTTCTTTTTTTAATGTTCATAAAAAAAACGAAACCAAAAAAGTATTGTATTTATTGACATATTCATCACCCATTTGTTATCTTCGTAATTAACAGTACATATATATACATACATATATATATATATATATATATATATGATTTTTATCGTATTTTACAATTTATTTGAATACTTTTTTAATAATGCAACGTCCGTGTTTAAAAAAATTTATGAAAATTATGTTTCTTGAAAATACGCTAATATAATATTAAAATTGTTAAGATTATTATAATTAATAATAAGACTATATATAAGTATATACATATAATATGTATAAATTATCATGTAATCAAAATTTTATCTAACTTTCCGAAAATAAATCGAAAAACTAACAATTATATAATTATTCGATCATTTTCTTCTCTCAAGACTTCGTGATATTTTTAGACATCCAAAAATGAAGAAGGTATGCACTTATAGTTACGTACTATATAAATATACGTATAATAAACCAGGTACCAGTGAAAATAGAACTAGATTGCGAATAATTAAAGTTCATAAAATTGATCTGTATTATTAAATCTATTACAACGTAATCCTAATTAGAAATGTATGCACACATGCACTCTGCACATTATTTTCGGTGCAAATGACAAACAAAATTAAAAACAGGCGAAGGAAAGTAATTGAATTTGATAATTGGTAATTTAAACTGACTAGTTTTTTTTTATATTTTATATAATATATAAAACTTATATGTACAATGAACAATTTCTTAATTCAATTAAGTAACGTGAGATATGAGAGACTCAGTATTTTTAATGATGAAAAAAGGCAAACATTCGTTTTAAAAGGATAATATACGAGCAAAAAATATTTCTCGAGCAAAAGTCACATTTTCCCAGATTATTCTTTTAAATGAAATTATTTTTATTATTACAATAAATGAATTTAAAAAACATTTCGATGACTTATGCTACTTGGATAGAAATTAGAGAAAACGCGAAATAATGAAATTACTGTAACAGAGATATTATCGATAAAAAAAATTGTTTCAACAAATACTAAAAACAATATTCGTTAATTGTAATATATTTTCGCAGACTAATTATTAATCGTAAATTAATTAAATATTAATTATTAAATTTCTAAAATATTTGTGCAATTTTATATTTTTAGAAGATAGAATGATGAAAGAAAAATGGAACCTAGATATTAATTCATCTATTAAATATGATTAGAAGTATTAACTTTAAATTTTTCACAAATGCATAAAAATCCGTAGCCTGTTAATTATGAGTTTTGTGAATTAGATTTTCAAGTAACTTTTTCTAATTGGTTCACTCAAGCACTTTACTTGATTTTTTTATATTTCTTCTCTGATTTTACTTTCTGATTTTGCTTTTTTAAATTTAATGTAACATCTAAGCGCTTACTTATTTTATCGAAAAAAATGTTGGAAATTTATCTTCGAACGCACGCAAGCGTTGTAAATGAAAGGAATGAAGCACACTAAGAAGAGAGTGAAACGCCAGCAGAAGAAGAAGAAGATAGATTGTAACATGAAGCGGCATGGTCGGACAGAAATAGAAAAGCGGCACGAAAATCATTTAGTGTTGGCCAACGTGCAATTCCCTCCCGTATTCCCGAGTATTGTTGCTTGATTTTAATTTTGTGTACAAATAAAAAATGACGCGCGTCCCACTAAGATCTTCGTTGAAAAGTCGAGATTCCAATTCGACATCGACCGATCCGGATCTCCGTAAACGCATGAAGAACTATTGCCGAAAATTGGTCGCGTTCATGTGCACCCAGGTTGGCGTTGGTGGACTCGTGGTTGGCTATGCTATAATAGGTGCTTTCGGCTTCATGATGATCGAGACTCAAAGCCAAATTCCATCGGCCGTGTGCATTCGAGAATCAATTAGGAAACAGTACGCCGAAGAATTGTGGCTGAGCACTGCCAGCAATCGAACGATAAATATCTTCGATAGAACAACGTTTCACATGGTGTCTAATCAAATTCTACGCCGTTATCAAGACAATTTCACCGGTGACTATAGAAACGAGAATTGCAGTGGCTTAACAGCGACTGATCTATGGTCCTTCCCAGCAGCAATGATGTTCTGCCTTTCTGTATTCACGATGATCGGCTATGGGACGCTGGTGCCTCAAACTCCTTGGGGAAAGGCCGTCACCGTTATTTACGCCGTGTTGGGAATTCCTCTTTATGTTTTGTATTTTCTTAACATGGGAAAAGTATTAGCGCAAACGTTTCGCTCGTTGTACACATGGCTGCATGAATGCACTGGCAAACGAAAAGCTGGCCAAAGAATTACAGTACCGTCGACAGCATGTCTTTGGGTGATCTTCGGATACATCTTGAGTGGTTCGATCATGTTCGCCGCGTGGGAAGGATGGAATTATTTGGACAGTGCTTATTTTTGTGTGACATCGTTATGCAAAATTGGAATGGGCGATCTCGTTCCTGGTTGGACACACGGTGATCTAACTGCTGATAGCCAAACCAAACTGATAATAAATTTTGTTTACCTGTTACTTGGTATGGGGCTCATCGCTATGTGTTATGATTTAATGAAAGAAGATGTTTACGTGAAAGCTAGAGAAATGAAAGAACAGATTTTAGAGATAGTCGACGCCACTCATTACCAGCTTGAGATGTGTTGTAAATCAGAAATATTAAAATAATACTTTAATATACTTCTGTCGGTAAACAATTAAGTATAAAAATCTTCTAGAAAGAAATTTATATTTGTGTAAAAAATATGTAAAAAATATATAAAAAAAAAAAGTTATATGATTGTAACAAAATATAATATAATTCTACATCCATATATTATATACAACTTGCAATTGATATCTAATCTAATAAAATTATAAAATTTCCAATTAAAAAGTTTATTTTTATTAGATTATCGTTCTTTACAAAATAGAATAATATCAAAAAAAAAACAATAAAATTCTATTTTATTTTATTTTTATTTTACGAAGTACAACTGATTTTTGATCTTCGCAATTAAGATATATTATAAAAATTATGTAACTATAATATTTAAATTTAATTTAAAATTTATTTAACAATCTTATGTTGAGCGTACTTTTCATTTTGATTACAATGTACAACATTAACAACTTAACTTTTTATAACTAAACACACTTTTGGAAAATTTTTATTTGTCATTAATGGCTTATAGTGGTTTATATATGTAATATATGAATCATTAGTTTAAGTATATTGCATTTAAGCATTTATAAATATTTTTGCACTTCCTTTGTTAAATGGCCAATCACAATTATATATATTAATAAGCTATATGTTCTTGTATTCTACAATTAATAAATCTTTATACAATAATAAAATAAAATAAACAGTTATGTTGAGAGTGTTAAAAACAAGTTTGTAATAATTGAACAATCAGACAATGTACAATACATTGTCTTAGAGATCTAGCTTCGCTAATGATGTTTCATAAACCTTAAGTCATGCCACGACAATTAATGGAATTATTAACCACATGTACATACAAGAACAAATTGAAAACATTGAGAACAAGCAATTCGTGTAAAAAATGATTTGTCTTTCCTATAAAGAATTATCTGTTATTCGCGAACTATTTGTCCATAGGATAAACTATGCATTGATTACTTGTACAAACGCATTTCAGACGATATTAATATTTAAAATAATCTAAAGCTATTATAACAGTACTTACGACATTTATTTAATATAACTAGTATTCAATAAGTTGTTTACTCATTACTCATACAATTTTTTTCCTAACATAACAATCTGACTTATTCAGAGGAAGCGCAAGAAGCACAAACACGCTAAACTTCATTGTCCAACTACTATTTAGAAGATAAATATTGTCAATTAATTTAAATATTACACAGATTTTTGAAATATATACTAAGTGAAAGATAGATAGTAATTTAAAATAAAAATTTTGAATAAATCGATATTTCAAACCAAAAGATAGAATGTGACAGATAAAATAAAGATTATTGGATTTTTTTTTAAATTTTTCTGGAATTTACAATTATTCTTGTAATGATAAATAAAGTTATAAAAGTAAATAATTTATTGTTCGAAATTCAATGCCAATTAAATATCCAAATAATGAACTGAAAAAAAAAAGAAAAAATAATGAAATTGAGTATTTACAAAAAAATGGTGTTATAATAAAATCAATTTTCGATAACTGTTCGTAATAACATTTTTAAGAAAAAACTTTAAGAGCATCTATCATTATATATTTTTTCATAGACGTACCTAATTTATAATATTGAAATTGGTTTATCTATATTGAGCATCCAATTATTAATAATTAGGGCTATTTCAACTTTTAATAAATACTTATCGTAAAACTTAAAAAATTGATTTGATATGCATAAAAAGTTTAAAGATTTCAATCATTTAAGTACTGAAATTAATGCAATATTTTTAATAAATCATTTCAATATTAATAAATCTAAATAACGAAATATATTAACTATAAAATGTTTTCAAAAAATGTAATACTATGTTTGCAAATTTTTAAAAAAATGATTTATCTAAATATATAAAAAATAATTTATTTACAATAATTATAAAAGGTAGATATGTATATATAATAATAAAAAGATTATAAAGCTCAAACTGAAAGAAATATTCATAAAGAAAGCACTGTAATTAAAAGACAATATCATTGAACGTTCAAAAAAGGGCAATAATAAAAATAATAAATTATTAAAATCTCAAAAGAATTGCAATTTTCGTCCCACTAGAAATTTGCAAATGATCAATTACATATTATATATGAATAAATATTACAAAAACGAAGCATTAAAATACCAGGTTTTTGATTTAAATATAAAATAATAGAAATTTTGAAGTATCTATCATTAAATACATATTCTTTTACATATTATATATTCTTATTCTCAATTAAAATAATCGACGTTCTATCTATAAATAACCCACGCATGGTCCAAAGTATCGGACAATCATGGTTGAGAATTATGAAAAAAAATTGTACATTACATTACATTAATAGTTAAAAATGAAATCTGTGAAAGATTGAGATACTAATAATAATAGTAAGTATGATTCGGTTAGGCCACTTATAGAAGTAAAAAATTATACTAGATTTTACTTGACTGAATTAGTACTGTGTTGTAGATAATTGAATTATGATATCGGAAAATCTTTTAATCTTTCTACAAATGGATATTTCTTTTTAAGCATAAATGTAATTCTTTGAAATGTAAACATTGAATCAATATTACAGAAACCACTTATTTTACATTATATTAGAGTAAATGTAATGTAATATAAACACAAGTTTCTCCTTGTCACAATTTTTGAATCACGATTGTTTCATTACTTGGACTAAGTACATATTACCACAGACAAGATATATGAATAGACATTGCATCTTTACGGACTTTCGTGGCCCGTGACCTACAATACCGACACACTAAAAAATCACTAGTTTTTTAGCGCACTCTACGTTTAAACAACGGTGAATTGAGGACTAGTGAATGAACGAACAACATGATTTTGAAAATCATTACAATGTTCTCAAACTTTCAATACCGAATTGTTGAATCTAGTAACTATAGACGAAGTAATCGAAATCATTCTACTCTATATCAGAAAGAAGTCCATGTTTTACGGACTTGTCACAACTTTTTTCAATACGTAGTATTGAAAGTTTTTTACGTGGTTGTGACAAATGACATAAATTCCATAATTTATTAGTTAAAAATTACGCTTATTAATTGAAATATTATTCGAAATTTTTCTACAAATTACTTTGCTTATCAATATTATG